ATGCCATCGATTAGATGAATGAATAGAAATTGTTGGGCTGAGTGGATCAGTGCACGGAGAGTGGAAGGCTGAAGGGAAGGCTCTGGCACACCTGGGAAGATGCTGATTGTGTAGTTTCACCCTCATCTGGGCCAGTGTAACTGCTGGGGTGGGGCAAGAACAGGGAATTCTGGGAAAGAAGTGGTTCTCTCTCCCTTTGAGATGTCCACTTGTACACTCTTTGATGTTTTTGAAAGAATTCTCTGAACTTTGTATTTTTTTCTGGCCTCCTCCCTCTCCTCTTCTTCTTCGACCTGCTTGCCCTCCTCTTTTCTCTCCTCTTCCTCCTCCTTAAAGAAGATTTAAGGGCCAGAGACATAGCTCAGTGGCATAAGTGCTTGACTGGCAAATACAAGGTCCTGAATTTGATCCCCAGTAAAGAAAAAAAATGGAGAGAGAGAGAGAGAGACAGACAGACAGACAGAGACAGAAACAGAGACAAAGATTAGTTTTTAAGGGGCTCTTGGAAGATAGTTCCCCCCTCTGCCTGAAAGCTGATGAAAATAGCCCAATACAGTACTTCTTTTTCTTTTTTGTACCAGGAATTGAACTCATGACCTCATGCTTGCCAGGGAAGCACTGTGCTGCTGAGCTATATACCAGCCCTCCCAATTGGCTTTCCCTATTTTGTTTTTGGTACCAGAATTGAACTCATGACCTTGTGCCTCCCAGGCAGGTGATTATGCTTCTAAGCCATCTTCCCAGGTACAGTACTTATTCTTCTCGGAAGATACAGTTGTCCATCCTTCCTTTTTCTTGCGTGAGTACAGCTCTCTGGTTGGTTCTTGGTTCTGGTATGGGGTCTCTATGCCACCCAGGCCCAGGATGAGAGTTATGGTGGTGTGTACCAATGCTGGGGCCCCCTGGCTAGGCGTGGGTTGGAAATGGACAGAGATGCTGTTGTCACTAATGGGATGGGAAGAGCTTCTCTCTTCTGAGGGGTTCCTTATTCTTAAGGTGCAGTTGTGTCCTGTCCCTTCACATGCTAAAAAGATCAAAGTTTCTGTCATGTGTGGAGGTGAAAACACCTGAGGAATGGGGAGTCCCAGGACTTCCACTCCCAAGTCCTGGGCCTGGAGCGGCAGGAACAGTGCTCAGCCTGAAGTGTTGTACAGAACCGACCTCAGAAACCATCAAAGCACGTCCTCCAGGAGTCCCACCCCATTCAGGCTGAATCTGGCCTTCCTTTGCAGGCCTGGTGTCTCTGTGAGGCTGGCAGACCTCCCCACTCCATCTTGACTCCAATAGGCCATAAACTGCTAGAATAGAGCAGCTGCGGAGGTACTCCTGGCAGTGGGGGGGTCAAATCCTGGAGATGTGCAGATTCGTGTCCCTTGGTATCTGGGAGGGGACCAACAGCTTGGCCTTCCTGTGTGGATATAAGGAGGAGCTATGGTGAGGATGACACAGGCCTGGCTGGGTGACTTCTAGGTGGAGAATACTCAGAACATGCACATCAAGTCACCCTGCGGAGGTCATTGTCCAGAAGTCTCAGGATGTCGCCAAGCCTGGGCCTTTCTGCCAACAGGCATACCCATTGGCCAGTGAGGCTGTTCTAGTGCTTTGGGGCCATCTTTGAGTAAAGCAAGGGCTACTGGAAGATGAGCACTGTGACACCAGGACCATTGCTGTGACAGCTGAGATGGCTACCAGGGGAGAATGAGTAGGCACTGAATGAGGTGTGGATGCTCCTGAGGGGTAGAGCATGAGGACACCATGTTTAATCGAATATTCTGAACGGGGGACCGGGGAGATGGCTCAATGGAGTAAGTGCTTCCCTGGCAAGCGCAAGGGCCTGAGTTCAATCCCCGGTTCCGAAAAAACAAAACAAAACAAAAAAAAACACCAAAAAAAAAAAAAAAATACCCCAAATATTCTGAACGGCATGTCATTTTAAAATGTATGGGCTGCTTAGTTCTGGAATGTTCCGTTTAATATATTCACACTGGGGATGACCACAAGTGACTGAGATATTGGAAATGGGAACTGCAGGTAAAGGGTGGGGGCTGAGATACTGTCCTCCTTCCGGTCTTGAGATGCATGCAGAAATCTCATTAAAAATCAGCAGAGAAACTGAGAAATTCCTATTCCATCTAGAGTTTTGCTACTTTTCTTTCACAGCTCCGGGTTGTGACTTCCAACATTCCCTATGGGAGATAAAGAGGCGTAGAATCAGAGTGACACAAGAATGGGGGGGGGGG